AGCTTAAAACAAAAATGGGTAAACTACACTTTAGGTCCATACACTTTCAAGCTCATACAAATATTAACACCTTTTATAAATCTTTTGGCACAACTCAGCCCAATTCCAACAAAACTTAGTCCAAACTATTTTAATAGATCCAATTAGGCTCTAAAATAGATCTCAGGTTGACTCAAACTATTGACTCGGGTTTCGAGGCGTTATACAATCTCTAAACTTTCTCCTCGCCCTTGGATTTTTATGATTTTCTAACTTCTTTTTCTAAAATAGAAAGATATTAGATAACAAAAATGAAAAAAATGTTGTTTACATTATGGACTAAATCATGACTATACCTATCTAGCCCTAACCTTTTCTTCACTTGTTTTTCTCAGGTAAGAAGAGTTTTCCTCCTTGATCTCTAAAAGAAAAATCAGTAGCAGGGATAAAAAACAGACTGGGCAAGTACAAATATTTCATCTCTTATTCATATATCCACATAATATTCTTGTATTCATCACATATCTATATTTTATGATGAGTAAAATTTTTAAATCTATACCCGTTCGCGCAAATATATTCTCAAACAAGGTAAGAGGTCGGGAAATATTTCATATCGGTGAAAAGTCAATGCAAAGAAATTGATATAGTAGGTCGAATTATTCCAAGTGACTGATTAATTCGAATGTTCACATCATTAATCTACAAACACACTCAGAAAATATATATACAGTTTATTATTAACTAATAAAAACATGTAAATTTTGTAAACACCCACATGATTATATGCAAATGCACTAGCAAGCTTCTCCAAGGACAATTTGACATATTCAATTCATCTGGCAAAAAATAAATTTCATTAAATTAATCTATTAATGGTAATTTCAGTCATGCACACCACAACTTTAGAATCGGATTCATCATTATTTCATAAAGCTTGTGATGACGGCCATGGTGGTTTGCTGGTGCCTGTCCTACTAACAATGCAGAAATTCAAGGTTCATGATCAATATTAAAAAAAGATGATCTAAGAATTTGTGTCCACGTGTAAAGATATTTTTTTAATCTGATTGGTAAATCTTTTACGTGGTAGAAAGGGATTATATTATTATATAATATTTATTGTACGTTTAACATTGTTTTTTATTTTACGAACAAACTTACTTCAGTGGTTAAAGAAATTGTTGTTATTGTTAAAGGTCACAAATTCGAGCACCAACATGGTGATTGAGTGTTCATTGTCAAATAATTAAGAGTATTTAGAACAAATACTACTTTATAATCAGCTCAGTTTAATCTGTATGTCATGAATAATATTGAAAAGTAGTTTTCAGGAAGAAAATATATTTTAATTTAGGTTGAGAACTGTTTTTCAAAAGTTTAAATTTATAGTTTTTAGCTTCTTGTCAAAAGGATTTTTTTTAATAAAATTCTTTATTTATTCTGAATTTTTCGGTAATTCTTTATATTTTAAAAACATTTTTTTAAATAAATAAATAATTTATTTAAAGCATTTTTAAATATTAATAAATAATTTAAAATATCATTTAAAAATAATTTATGACAATATACTTTTTTTAAACAATGCGAATCTATAAAAAAACAAGAAAAATAGGTAAGAGAATCCAATTCCATTTGAGGGTTTACAGGAGAGGAAGTGGAATTTGAAATGTTTGGTATTCATTGGGGAAGATGTGGGATACAGCAATTGGAATGGATTGTATTCCTTCAAAGTTGAAACTGGATTAGCCTATTATGTCACATAGGCACCCTCTATGTTTTAAAGTTTCAAAAATTAATTATATTTGATTCATTCTATTATTTCTTTTTGGACTTTTATCGTTAATGTTTAATTTTGTATTTTTTTTGTGACAAAAAAAACCACGAGAGAGCTCAGTGGTGATGCCTTAAGTACAAAGCATTGCACTCGTCGTTGAGAGTTCTTTGCACTTCAGTAGGGGGCTGATAAAAAATCTGTAGGTCCTGGTTGAGATCTCGGCCAATATTCGCCATGTTGTCGGCCAGTTTATTGCCTGCACGAAGCGTATGCTGGAACTTTAGGGACCAAGGGAGCTTGGTGAGAAGCTTTATTCTTCGGACAATGGCCAATTGGGTGGAGCCATTTGAGGAGCTGAGAAGGCGAAAAGCTTCCAAATTGTCAGTCTCAAGGTCCAGGTGCCGGATTCCGCTCTCCCAAACGATTTGCAAACCATTGAGAATAGGAGCCAATTATTAATTTATGATACAAAGAAATTTCTCTCTAAAAAGTGAGAACCAGTTGCTCATTGACCCTTATTTCAGAAACCTTCGCAAATAATTCTTTACTTTGATAATGTGTCTAAAAACACTTTGCTAAAAAAATTCATTTTGTCTATAAAATTAAGGGTAAAGTATAGTAATGATCATTGAACTTTTCTAAAGTTTGCATTTAGGTCTCCCAACTTTTAAAATTTGTAATATTGTCCTCCAACATTTAGTCCGTTTGCAATATGGTCCCCGCCGTAACCAGTTGTTTGACGCCGTTACACTACCGTTAGTACATTTGCAATATGATCACTGAACTTTTCAGGCACTTGCATTTAGGTCCCCCAACTTTTAAAACTTGCAACACAATCTTCAATTTCATTCTAAACCCCAAATTCCTTTTCGATCTCGAATTTCCTTTTTTTCTTCTCTCTTCTCATTTCCAGCGTAACTTTTCAGTCGGGGATGCATGAGAAATTCTAATCTAACTTTGAATTTTGTAGAGGCGTTGACTTGAATAAGGGTCTATTGAGATACATGTCATCTCAGGTGAAGCATAGATGTTCGATGAAATGCTTGTGAGAAAAAAATGGGGTTAGAAATGCAGAGTTGACAAATACTATTAAGATGAACTAAGTATCATTGTTGAAAGTCACAAACAAAGATGAAATTATTTTGTATAAATGACATATAATAATTTCTTTGTTTAATCCTTGTGGTTAAAGATTTTCCAACAGATGATCAAATATAATGAAATCCCAAACAGCGCCTTCACCTCTCAGTCTCTTCGCTCACATGCACTCGCGTTTGGTTTTTATTCTTCAGTTTTCCGCCATGTAAAATTGTAAACTCAAGCAGTGCTCTGTCTTTCAGTTTTTTATTTACAAAGAAAAAATGGAGGAAGAATTGCTGGAATGCAACACCGATTGTGTTTATTTCTTAGCCTCTCCCCTCACTTGCAAGAAAGTATTTATTTTCTCTTTTGGGCTATCCGGAAGTAAGCTTTTCCTCTTTGCACTTTCCCGTTTTCATCTCGCATTGTGTGTTTTTTGTTGAAATTTTTATGTTTCTAGAACTGCATGTCAAGGATTTGGATATTCAGTGTTAGTAAAATCATCTAATTTTTTTTCTTTCTTTTTAATCAAAACTTTTAGTACTCATTATAAAAGATATTCAGTCCATCAGAATAGAAGTAAAAGAGGGTCATAGGCTAATTTTTTTCCTTTTGATTTTCTTGTTTGGTTTTTCTTTAAATCAGGGAATTGGGTGTGAGTATTGGCATAGTGAAATCGCCAGGCTCAATCCGAGAGACTGTTGGTACTAGTTTACTAGGAATTGTATTGATTCGACCTGTGGTTTTCGGCGTCATGTGAGCTCGTATTCGTTTTAATAAGTTCATGTTGATTATGGGGCTGATATATCATGAACGAATTAGATTTTTTACATGTTTTGGAAATTTTACAGTTGAATATGTATTGAATTATAGCTTTAGAAGACAATTATGCATGCACGCAACTCGAAAGGCATCATGACAGTGTATTATATTTGGAGCAGCTACTTGATATGTTGCCCGATCATTGCATATGTGCACCTTCATTTCTGGCATATATGTGTTTGTTGCAGTGTCCTCTATGTTTTACAATGTCTTTTATTACTGACATGCCATGAATTTACAAGAATTATGGGGTCTTATGATTTTAGTTCCGCTATCTGCTTTAGATTCTCATCATGTTTGGCTATTGAGGAACATTAAACATGGAGCATTAGAAGAAATTATATGTTAAAAGAGTATGCCATTAATGCATTTGTAACTGGTAATGTTGTATTTGGCATCTAATGTCTATATGCTTTTGGAGTGACTATGACCGAACCTCTTCCCCTTTATTTATTAAGTTCTCATTTTGAATGAGTTATTAATTGATATTCTTGGTTTATTTTAGTTATTGCTTGGTTGTATGTTGTAGTCCTATAAACTAAAACTCTTTATTATTTTCGCAGCCATTGGATGTGCATGCTCAAGTTCCATTCAAACCTATTGGATTGTTATACCAAAGTGTAGCAGCTACGAACAAGACAAATTGACCTTGTTACTTTTACTTCAACGGTTTATGCAATAAACGTGATAGGTGCACTTTTCATGTTCAAAGTGCGGCAGCCGTTGGATGTGCATGCAATAAACCTCAAATTTATATTAAAGTAAACACTGTCAAATAGCAAATTCATGTTCAAAATTCCAAAACACTTCAATTACATTCTAAACTCCAAATTCCAAAATACTTTAATTACATTCTAAACTCTAAATTGAAGTATTTTATAATTTGGGGTTTAAAATATAATTGAATTATTTTGGAATTCGAGATTTAGAATGAAATTGATGATTGTGTTGCAAGTTTTAAAAGTTGGGGGACCTAAGTGCAAGCGCCTGAAAAGTTCAGTGACCATATTGCAAACGTACTAAAGGCAGTGTAACGGCGTCAAACGGCCGATTACGTCAGGGACCATATTGCAAACAGACTAAATGTTGGAGGACTGTATTGCAAGTTTTAAAAGTTGGGGGACCTAAATGCACGCTTCAGAAAAGTTCAGTGACCATTACTATACTTTACCCTATTTTTTAAATTTATTTATAACATATATCTTTTTATTTTTGAATGGTTAAAATGATAAATATATCATTTAAATTATTTTATTGTAATTTTTAAATGGGTGATTGTGATTAAATCAAAATAATTGAAAAACTATCTTTTTACCAGAATTTGCCAGATTGAATTTAGGGATTTAAAATTTAAACAAACAGACAGAAGTATACATTGTCAGATTGAATTTGCAATATTGTCAACGAAAAGGATTGAGTCTCTTTACCAGAACTAACATTGAACTTCTTTGATTTGTAAGTTGACGTGCATAGAATACCTCCAACTTTAAGGCCATTTAAGTACAGATCATTCGGCCACTTGATCGTAACATCAATACAGGGGAATCCCTGAAACCATTTGTGATGTAAAACTTCAGGATTACACCAGAGAATAATTTGCAATATATTAATGGTACACGATCTGAATTGTTGACGTACCAGTGACAAAAACCAAAAAGAAAATTAACATTTTCTTAGTTGCAAAGCATGATAAGAGCAATTAAAGTTCCATGATTTAGCTTTTAACTGGCACTTAATGGACTAAGTATCCTTTTTCAGCGACATTCATCATTGAATTTTATGGACTTGTTCTGCCTACTGGAATGAATATTAAAGATTCAAACATTAAATATTGTTTTCAATACTCTAAGAAGCTAACCTAATAAATTTCTTTAGCTCAATTAATGGCCAGAAAGCCGGTACACATCTCCATTGCATTGTAAGAAAAATTATATCATATGGGTAAAAAAGGGAAAGAAGAGAGGCTTACATTTCGATGACAAACATCTTTTATAGCCTCTGTCACAGCGAGAGACACCACATATTGTACCACAGGCACAATTTTTGCATCATCCATTTGTAATGTAAATGAAAACATAAGGCATCCCCTAGGAGACTCCCACGCATTCTTGGACCGACCTGCAAAAAAAAACTCAGAAACATTTTACAAAACCATATTAACCGAAATTCAAATTTCAATAATTCATAAATAGTATTCACCTCGCCCTTTAAACTGAGTATCAACTACACAGGCCGCACCAACTGGAAGTTCACAAATATTACTGTTCAAAAACTAAAAATCAGACATTATCATAAAAAAATAAATCCAATATTCAACTAAATTCGTTTTTTCTTTCTATTTCCAGGTGAATGATTTGCTTACCGAGAAACGATTAGTTGAGAGTGAATTAAAAAACAATTCGACATTAAAAGCATCTTCACCAAATCGGGAACTATTAATCTCCGATTGTAAATGAGTTGGAATTCTACCGCCGTTTGGGAGATTAAGAACGTCGTTGATTTTCAATGATTTGGCGATTTCTGTTTCCGCTGATGACTTTCAGTATAAAAGCAGCGCAGAAGGCGAGGCCGTATCCATGGCGAAGGAAACGACGGAGAAAGAAAGGCTTGAAGGAATGCGCTTTTGAATGGCAGGGAAAAGGAAGCCGAAGCGGCTGCTTTGTACTAACCTATGTTGCACTTATACGGATACGAGGATGGATACGGAGACAGCGACGGAAAATATTAATTTTTAAAATTACAGAATATGAAGACGGTAAGGGTCTGATATATAAAATAATTTTAAAATTATAAATATAAAAAAAAATTATAAATAAAGTTAAATATCAATACTCAAACCATAATATTAAGTTTAGAATAGTAAAATCAATAAACAAATCACAATATTAAAATGTCAAATTTCAAGATTCAAACTATAATATTAACTCTTGAATAATCAAAACCATAATCAAATCATAATATTAAAGTGTCAAATCTTAAGACTCAAACCATAATATTAAGTGTAGAAAAATATTAAACATAAATCAAACAGTGTTAACATCCTAATTTAACTCTAATTAAAATCCTAACATTTGAACATTTTTTAAAAGAGAAAATCGCCTCAGTGACCAAAAATGCCTTATAATATACGATTTTAACCAACTTTTTCCGGATTTGCCAAAATGACCAACAAAATCGCAATGCGATCGCTAATTCGCAACGCGATCTCCATTATCGCAAATTCGCGTTGCATTTCGCGTTGCGATAGTTGGAAATCGCGTTTCGATGGTCTACAGTGTCGTTGCGATTTTCCCAATTCGCAATGCGAATAAGTAAATCGCAACGCGAATTGGAAAAATCGCAATGCGATACTTACTATCGCAATGCGATAATACAAAATCGCAACGAGATACTGACTTTCGCAACGCGATTTACATAGCGCCATTCGTATTAACGCGTATTTTTTTTTTCAAATTTCAAACACGAATTTTTTCTTAATAAATCGGAAACTGAACCGTCCACAGTAATCGCAACTCATAACCTCAAACCCAAAATCACAACACTCAGTCCCATCTCCATCTCTCACTCTCTACGGCGAAATCCGTCCCCATCTCCGAAGATTTCCGTCCCCATCGCCGGCGAAATCCCTCACAACCATTCACAGTCAAAAATCCCTCACAATCATTCAGAAATGGAAAATCAACCTCCGAGGGTTAGTTTTTTTATTTTTATTTTGAAATTTTTGTATTATTTTAGGTTTTTCATATTGAGATTGATGATAAGTTTACTGGTAATTTCAATAATAGATTAACCATTTCACTTAGATTTCTTATTAAATTCATTCGATTGCTGCCAATACTGCTAAACTGTTTAGCCTGTGAAGTTAGTATTTGTCTTTGTTTTGTCTTTTGGTTGAAGTAATGCAGAAGAAGAATAGTTTCGAGAATGAAAATCGCAATGCGGAAATAACTATCGCAACGAGAGAATCGCAACGCGAAATAAAAAACGCAACGCGAAACCAAAATCGCATTGCGATTTTCATTTCGCGTTGCGATTCTCTCGTTGCGATTTTCATTTCGCGTTGCGATTTTCATTTCGCGTTGCGATTTTCATTTCGCGTTGCGATTCTCATTATCTCGTTGCGATTTTCATTTCAACCAAAAGACAAAACAGTGTTGCAAATTTTAGTTTCAAGAATAAACTAATATTTATGTTTATTGTTTTTGGTATATCTTGACAGTGTAGTTTTTGGTATATCTAACTTGGTATGTTTATTGTTTTTGTAGAAATTTTTTTCGGCTTCATTGACATTAAGGAATAAAGTTAGCCTAGCCACTACAATTGCTTCGAAGCTTTCACCTGCACAAAGAAAATTGTTTGAGGAAACCTGCTTCGGGCCATGGCTGAGAGTACAGCATCCGGGTGGAGATGCTAATTTGACCCATTTGTGGCTTCAGACCATGACTAGAGATCTACCCGACAGTATACAACGTGGTGAGGAAGAGATATGGTTTCATTTTCCACCGGCGTATACTTGTTTTGGGCTGAAGGAGTTCTGCTTAATCACTGGTCTACGATTCGGACACGATGATGTAGGCCGGTACACTCGTCATATCACCCGCCCATCATGGTTATCCAGGGTTTTCCTGATGAGTCAATAGAGAAGCCGAACTTACACGTCGACGACATGAAGAAATTGTTTAATAAGAAAGATGGTTTTACTCGGATGAATGACGTCGATGTTGTCCGAGTATGCCTTCTACTACTTTTGTATGCCGGCTTTTTAGGCAGAGAGGCCAGACAACATATTCCTCAAGAGCTAATATTATTGGTAGAGGACCTAAATGCATGGAATCTGTTTCCGTGGGGTTCGTATATATGGAAAGCTACCTGGACTAAGTTTTCGTCTGCCTTTGATGACCGTAAAAGTTTGCGGGGTGATGGGTCGAAATACACTTTGTCAGGTTTTGTTTGGGCCTTTAAGGTAAGAATTTCTATATAATGTTTTCAAAATTATAATTAATTATTTAACAATTACTAATGTTTGTTATTATATTGTTTGTAGATTTGGATATTCGAGGCCTTTCCCGCCATGAAGACATATGCAATAAAAACTTCAAATGATATTCCCAGGGCTATTTCCTGGAAGAGGAAACGTCTGTTGGATTGGGAAGACTTAATACCATATGCGACAATAAATAATGTAAGTTAACACAAATACTATCATATATAAACAAGTTATTAATAGTAGATGTTTAACTTTGTTTGAGTTTTTATATTTTTAGGAGGCCAACATTCCATTAATGAGACTGACACCCACGGAGGCTGAGCTTGCCACTGATTGGTGGCAAGCTAGTCAGCGTTTTCTTGATGGCACGAATGATGAGCAGCCTCCACTTCCTCCACTTCGAAAGCCATCACCTCACCCAGAGCCATCACCTGATCGACCCGACTATACACCTCTACAACGAGAGCCATCACCTATCCCGTCACATCATCGAGCCTCTTCTCCACCATCACTTCATGATAGGCGACCGGCAAAGATGCCACGACTTCTATCTCCCTGTTCTCCACCTCCACGGGATGAGTCAAGGGAGTTACGTGATGAGGTCAATGCCTTACGTGAGGAGATCGGTACTCTACGCGATAACGATGGTGCATGGCGTGTGGAGGTCAATGCCTTGCGTGAGGAGATCGGTACTCTACGCGATAACGATGGTGCATGGCGTGTGGAGGTGTCTACTTTACGTGGTGAGGTTGCCGCTCTAAGTGAGATGGTAGTATCGTTGCAGAATGAGGTTCATACTCTACGCAACGAGGTAAGTTTAAGATTTTCCATATTTAACTTGATGATAAATTTACTCGTAATTTCACTTAAATTAACCATTTCACTTAGATTGCTTAGTAAATTTATTCGGTTGCTTCCAATACTGCTAAACTGTTTATTAACACTGTGAAGTTAGTATTTGTCTTTTTGTTTTGTCTTTTGGTTGAAGTAAATTTATTCGGTTGCTGCCAATTCTGCTAAACTGTGTATTCTTTAACACTGTGAAGTTAGTATTTGTCTTTGTTTTGTCTTTTGGTTGAAGTTTTGAAATATATTTGTCTTTGTTTTCACTGTTTAAATATCATGTCCGTTTATTTACTGATATTTGTATTTAATTATTTAGCGGACCGATAAGGTGGATGCTTTACGTCGGGTTTTTCTTGCACGATAGAGTTCACGCATCAGACGGCGTGCCCGTGCTATTAAGTCTCCGTATACCCCAATAGTGCGAAGACACCGCAAGAAGAAGCCTGACTCGCCTGTCATCCCTCAAGAGTCCACTCCTATCGTTGAAGAGGCCCCTATCATTCCTCGAGAGTCCCCTCCCACCGTTCAAGAGGCCACTGTCATCGTTGAAGAGGTCCCTCCCACCATTCAAGAGCCCGATTCACATGGCGTCATATGTAGGATTCTTGAGAAACCCTCTGACGTGCCGGACATGATGGATTCAAGTTGGCTCTCGTATGAGTTACCGGCCAGTACCATACCGGTATCTGAAGAGGAGAGGAAACAACTACCGGACACAATTCTGGATAACACCCTTTGGGCTAAGACCGCAGTTGATTTTTATCTACATGAGCGAAGCCAGGGGTGTTTCACTTACATATGCAAGCTCAATGATGATATTTATTTGTTGCTTGATCGGTCTTGGTGGGGCGTATTATTAGGGGTCGAAGACAATGGCTATTTCGATGGAGGGGTAAGTCTTATATTTTTCTTATATTTTAATTTGATTATTTTTTTGTAAATTTATGTAAGTTACTAATATATGTCTTTTTTTGTAAAACAGCATATCGATGCGTGGGTGTCACGTCTTCTAATAATTAGGAAACTTAAGGAAAATAAAAGAAATACACGATATACAATTATGCCGACGTCTTTTAACGCCGTTCACTTGAAGAATCAACGAGATGAATTATTTGCGTTGGGCAATGGACAAGCTAAACTTTATCCTGCATGGTGGAAGGTCGATAAGGTTAGTGTTTATTTTAGATTGAGTTTAAAGGTATTCATAAATAAGTGCGCAAATGAATGAATTATTACTTATAATTGCAGGTGTTTATCCCTGTTTTGGAACGTAACCATTGGCTTCTCGTCGAGCTTCAGATCCCATCCCTTAAGGCAATAGTATATGACAGCATGATAAATTACATATCATTGGCTGATTTAAGAGATATTATTAAGGGATGGAGCTCTTATTTGGCTAAATTCTTGGATGCGATAAATTATTGGACTCGTTCTGGAAACAAGAAGCCAAAGAAGCTCAATATTACAGTTAGCAGAGACGAGACCGCACCACGATAAACGAAAGGACCCAGAGGGGATTGTGGTCCTCTCGTATGCTTGGCGTTGGACCGTTTGATCACAGGAAGTATAAAGTATCTACCTCCCACCGATATAGATAGAGCTGTAGTAGGCTTGTGGTTTCGACATTATATGGCTAGATCGATATATACGAGACGTTGCCTACCTGCATCCGCGTTATAAAAATGTCCATAAACAATTGGTATGTTTATAGGCTTGTGGTTTGAAAATGTTTGGTTAAGTACCTAGAATTCAATAATTTGCTGTTTGTAGGTTTTAGATGTGTAGAAAGTGTTGTTTGAGCAAATGTTTGGTTTATGCAGGTTAATCTCAGAAGTGAGCTGCGTGAAAATGATGTATGGCTGCAAAAGTTGATTCAATAGTAGAAGTGTTATTTTCTCTAATAATTATTGCTTATTTTTTGATTGTTTAATTGATTTGTAAAAGGTGATTTGTAAAAGTTGATTTGTTTAATTGATGTTAACATAATTCTTATTTGTGCTTGTTTAATTGATTGAAATGTAATGGTTGATTTTGTTGATTTCAATCTGTATTATGTTGAAGGCAAAAAGTACTATCGCAATGCGAAATGAAAATCGCAACGAGAGAATCGCAACGCGAAATGAAAATCGCAACGAGAGAAACGCAACGCGAAATTAAATTCGCGTTGCGATTTTCATTTCGCATTGCGATTCCCTCGTTGCGATTTTCATTTCGCATTGCGAAATTAGCATTGCGATTTTCATTTCGCATTGCGATTCTCTCGTTGCGATTTTCATTTCGCATTGCGATAGTAATTTCCGCGTTGCGATAGACATTAAGATGATTGCCTATTAAGTGATAACAACTGAACATATCATAGCAATTTTCAAACTCAAGTTACTAATACATGCCTAACTAAAAATGTTAAAAGTTCACACATAAAATCTACATAATACAACGTTTGCATTTAAAAATCACCTAAGTTAACAGTCCCAAAAGGTGAAGCCAGTTGTGATTGGGATTTTAAAGATGATTGCGATTTTGATTGCCTTTTTCTTGACACCATATGAGCTTTGGATTTTGATGATGATCCATATTTTGGTAGAGGAAAAGATGATTGTGATGGCACTGGTGATCCACATGTCAACCTTGTATGACCACTTTCCTTGCACCGAATACATGTCGATCTCTTCTTCTCTTCACCCTTAGACGGTATACGATCGTGACTTTTTGGTCGACCAGGTAGCCTTCTGTCCATGGCTGGTGGCAAAACTGTTTGTAAGTCATCTGGTATGTCCTACTCAGAAGGATGTGAAATAGGGTAGACAATCTCGGCATAAGTCTGTCGATATACTTCTGTAGTGTAGCAATCCATAGCGTATGTGCTTGAATCATCTTGGTTTAGATGAAGAGCAACTTTTATAACATGGCCACACGGATAACCAGATGTTTGTCATTTCATACAACTACACGTCCTTGCATTTAGATCGACAAGTCCATTTAAGTTATTATCCAGTACTTCAAACAAAGTGTTTGAACATGGTTCAACTCTCCATGACGTTGACTTCACAACACGTTTCGTTATCTTTTTTTCAGTCCATGGTGTAACACGATGTTCCAATGTTCCTGTAAATTTAAATAAATAATACTTAGTAAAAATATATGATAAGTTACGAATTCAAAGAAATAATACCTGCATGGTTTCTTTTCTTGTAGTACCACTGTTGAATAGAGGCTCAAAAAAACTCCATTAACATAGTAATGGGTAATTTCCGGGAATGACGACTTAGAGCGTTAATTGATTCTGCACTATTAGACGTCATGAAACCATATCTTGCTCCAAGTTGATGTACTCTTGACCATCTTTCAAACCCGACATCTTCTAGTGTTTGAGCACACTGAGGCAAAACACGTCTTAAACAGTTTATATGCTTATTGAAATCCACTTCCCGATAAGCCTTTACAACCTTCCAGTATGTCCATTTGTGCTTTTTTTATACCAGCAGACCTTGATTTTAGATTTCTATACAAATGAACACCACAAAGTCCATGAAAAACATATGGGAAACACCTTCTAACAGTGTTGTCAATTGAGTTTGCCCTATCGGATATGATTGTCAGATTGCTAATAGGACCTATGCAATCCCTAAGATGCCCCATAAACCATGTCCATGAATTAGAGGTTTCAGATTTGCCAACCCGTAAGCTATTGGCAATATCCATTGTTAGCATCCATGGCTACTGCTAATAAGTTTACTCCAAGGTATTGACCTTTCAAATGTGCTCCGTCAACTATAATAACTGGGCGCATGCAAGTAATAAACGAACGAATCTACAAAATAATATACACAAGAAATATAATCATTTAAATGTGAAATGCATGTAACTAACAGAAATGAGTCAACAGAATTATATTGATTTACTAACCGCAGCACCAATGGCGATAAACAGCAACTCAAAGCGTCCATCTCTATCTGTTTTGATATGAGTTACCGACCCAGGATTTTTCAGCTTTAAATTGTGACAATAAGCCGGCAGTTGGGCAAACGATGCTTCTGGCGACCCCCTCAACAATTCCAAGGCATAACATTTGGCTCTCCAAGCTTGAGAATATGATATACTAATCTTGAACCGAGCATTCATGTCAGTCATAATTTCATGTCCCCGATATACCCTGCCATTCAAAAACATTAACTCAGCCAGAAAACCACCCAACACCTTTTTGTTTGCCTGTCTATGGTGAGGAAAAACTTGGGTTCTTGAACATGTATGTTTATCAATAAAAGTCCTAACTTGAAACATTGTGCAATCTTTTATCCTCTTTGCAATCATACGCCACGTACAGGTTTTGTCAATCGTACACCTTGTTTCGAAACAATCTTTGCTTGATTTGTTAACTTTTAGTTGATAGCCATCTTCCACACATTTCGTATACAAAGCTATCTTCAAGTCTTCCTTTGTATCAAAACAATCATCTTTCTTGATACGAATAACTTTTGTGTAACAATCAACTGCTTTCTTTGCCAACTCTTCTTCCGGTAGCTGAAGTAATTCTGGCATATTCCAGTTATACTCTCGTAGCATTTTCTTTTTTTCGGGGACTTTTTCTTCTTCAGGATTATATGAATTACAGAATGGATGTTCAACATGTTCATTCACAGTCGTAACTTCCTCCTCATTATCATCAACAACATCTTCCTCGACAACGGGTGTTTCATCATCAAAATTCGGGTATTGACCAATATCAAAATCATTACACGCAGGGTCTGTTTCTTCTTCTGAAACATCATCAAAATCCGTGTATTGACCAATATCAAAGTTCGGGTATTGACCAAGATCAAATTTCGAATACTGACTAGTACTCACAATTTTTTCTCTTGGCTCATCATCGTCTAATTGGTCAATACGAAAACCGGAATTTGGTGCTGAAAGTTGATTTGGATTTGGATTAGAGAAAGGCTGTGGGTTTTGAGACCCACTTAGTTGATTACTACCCGCTACTGACCCAACAATACTACTTCTAGGTTCAACAACATACAATGTAACATCATCACTTGAAATATTAATGTAAGCAATGAATCGTTCAACATCTTCATTGTCGGTTAACAAATAAACTTTACCATTTCTCTGATAAGATAGCCTAAATTCACTTAGGGGCTCTAAATTCAATTTCTTTGAAACACGTAACATTAGGGTTTCATAAGTTAACTTCTTTAATGACAGTTTTAGTTGAAGATTCATGGGTAAAGGCATATATTGTAAAACACCATGAACATTCTCCCATGACCCTCCAAAACACAAATCTATCCAAACATGATCAACATTAGATGATTTCATGGTTGTAACTAAACAAACGAGATGCGAAACTAAGACCTGTTGTCGGATGGGGAAGGATGTCGTTGGATATAGGAACGGATGTCGCCGGAGAGAGTGATAGATGGAGATGGAATGAGTTACAATTTAGGGATTTAGGTTATGAGTTGTTGCTGCTGCGTATATATATACACAAAAAATTTGGCTTGCGAAACTAAAACCTGTTGCGAACTTTGAAACTCGCATTGCGATTCTGTATTATCTCGTTGCGAAAGTCAGAATCGCGTTGCGAAAGGCAATCATTTGACCATCGCAATGCGAAATGAAAATCGCAACGATAGAATCGCAATGCGAAATGAAAAAGGCAACGAGGATTAACATGCATAAACTTTTAACAATTATTGAATTCTAGGTACTTAACCAAACATTTTCAAACCAAAAGGAGTATATATGTTAACAAAACTTGCATTATGTGTATTTTATGTGTGCACTTTTAACATTTTCAGTTAGGCATGTATTAGTAACTTGAGTTTGAACATTGCTATGATCTGTTCAGTTGTTATCACTTATTAGACATTCATTTGACTATCGCAACGCGAAAATGGCTATCGCAACGCGAAAATGGCTATCGCAACGAGAAAATCGCAATGCGAAATGAAAATCGCATTGCGATTTCTCGTTGCGATTTTCATTTCGCATTGCGATTTTCTCGTTGCGATAGCCATTTTGCGTTGCGATAGTCTGTTTTGCCTTCAACATAAAGCATATTGAAAATCAACAAATCAACTATTACATTTCAACACAAATTATGTACACATCAATTAAACAAATCAACATTTACAAATCATCTTTACAAATCAATTAAACAATCAAAAAATAATAATTCTTATTTCTTCATCAATTATTGAATCAATGAATCAACAACTTTGTGACCCCGTACATCCATTTCACGCAGCTCACTTAAGGATTAACCTGCAGAAACCAAACATTTGCTCAAACAAGACTTCCTACACATCTAAAACCTACAAACAGCAAATTATTGAATTCTAGGTACTTAACCAAACATTTTCAAACCAAAAGGAGTATATATGTTAACAAAACTTGCATTTGACTTACCAATTAACAATGGACACTTTCATAACGCGGATGTAGGTAGGCAGCGTCTCGAATATATTGCTCTAGCCATATAATGCCGAAACCACAAGCCTACTGCAGCTCTATCTCTATCGGTGGGAGGTAAAAACTCTGTGCTTCCCGTCGTCAAACGCGCCAAGCAAAGGCATACGAGAGGACCACAATCCCCTCTGGCTCCCGGCGATTGCTGTGGCGCGGTCTCGTCTCTGACAACTGTGACATTGAACTTCTTTGGCTTCTTGTGTCCAGAATGACTCCAATACTTAATCCCATCCAAGAATTTAGCCAAATGAGAGCTCCATCCCTTGAAAATATCTCTCAAATCAGACAGTGATATGTAATTGATCATGCTGTCATACACTATTATCTTCAGGGATGGGAGCTGAAGTTGGACGAGAAGCCAGTGATGACGTTCCAAAACAGGGATAAACACCTGCGATCATAAGTAATAATTCATTTATTTGCGCACTTATTTATGAACACCTTTAAAAAATTTAAAAAATAAACACTAACCTTATCGACCTCCCACCATGCAGGATAAAGTTTAGCTTGTCCATTGCCCAACAAAAATGATTCATCTCGTTGATTCTTCAAGTGAACTGCGTGAAAAGCCGTCGGCATTATTGTATATAGCGAATTTTTTTTATTTTTCCTAAGCTTCCTTATTATTAGTAGACGTGACACCCACGCATCGATATGCTGTTTTACAAAAAAATACATATATTAGTGAATTACATTAATTTTTAAACAAATTAATCAAAATCATATATAAGACAAATATAAGACTTACCTCCCCATCCAAATAGCCACTGTCTTCAACCCATAATAGCACACCCCACCAAGACCGATCAAGCAACAAAAACATTTCATCGTTGAGTTTGCTGATGTCAGTGTAACACCCTTGGCTCCGCTCATGTAGATAAAAATCAATTGCGGTCTTAGCCCAAAGGGTATTATCCACAATTGTTTCCGGTAGTTGTCTCCTCTCCACTTCAGATACCGGAAGGGTACCAGCCGGTAACTCATACGAGAGCCAACTCTCATCCATCATGTCCGGAACCGGTGGGGGTTTCTCAATACTTCGATATATTACCCCATGTGAATCGGGCTCTGGAATGGTGGGAGGGACCTCTTCAACGATGACAGTGGCCTCTTGAACGGTGAGGGGAATCTTGAGGGAGAATAGGGGCCTCTTGAACGATTGGAGGGGACTCTTGAGGGATGATCGGTGAGTCGGGCTTCTTCTTGCGGAGTCTTCGCACCATTGGGGTGAACGGAGACGTAATAGCACGTCCACGCCGTCTGATGCGTGAACTCCGTTGTGCAAGGAAAACCCGACGTAAAGCATCCACCTTATCGGGCCGCTAAAAAAATTAATACATAAATCAGTAAATAAACATACATGATATTAAACAAAGACAAATATGTTTCAAACTAGCATTGTATTCACCCAAGTCATTATTCTATCATAGTTCACAAAATGCTCATATAACATTCCAGAAGTAAGCACTTATATAAACATTTAAAAGGACAACATATATAAACATTCCAGAAGAAGAATAGTTTACTTTCGCAACACGAAACTTAAAATCGCAACGCGAAATGACTATCGCAACGCGGAAATGGCTATCGCAATACGAAATGAAAATCGCAACGACAAAATCGCAACGCGAAATGAAATCGCAACGATAAAATCGCAACGCGAAACACAAATCGCATTGCGATTTTCATTTCGCGTTGCGATTTTGTCGTTGCAATTTTCATTTCGCATTGCGATAGCCATTTCCGCGTTGCGATAGTCATTTTCGTGTTGCGAAAGTAAACTATTCTTCTTCTGCAAATTGAAACTTGAATGGATTGCATTACTTCAACCAAAAGACAAAAACAAAACCAAAAACAAATACTAACAAAAACAGTTTAGCAGTATTGGCAGCAACCGAATGAATTACGAGTATGAAAAATCTTAAACTTACCTCGTTGCGTAGAGTATGGACCTCATTCTGCAACGATGCTACCATCTCACGTAGAGCGGCTACCTCACCGCGTAATGTAGACACCTCAACACGCCATGCACCATCGTCTTTGCGTAAAGTACCGACCTCCTCACGCAAGGCATTGACCTCATCACGTAACTCCTCTAACTCATCCCGTTGAGGTGGAGGTGGAGAATAGGGAGATAAACGTCGTGGCATCTTTGCCGGTCCCCTATCTTGCGGTGATGGTAGAGAAGAGGCTCGATGATGTGACAGAATAGGTGATGGCTGTCGTTGTGGAGGTGTATAGTCGGGTCGATCAGATGATGGCTCTGGGTGAGGTGATAGCTCTGGGCGAGGTGATGGCTCCCGAAGTGGAGGCTGCTCATCAACCGTTCCATCAAAAAAACGCTTACTAGCTTGCCACCAATCAGTGGCAAGCTCAGCTTCCGTGGGTGTCAGCCTCTGTAGAGGAGTGTTGGCCTCCTAACAATATAAAAGCTCAAACAAAGTTAAACGTGTACTAGTAATAACTTGTTTATAAACATATGGTAGTATTTATGTTAACTTACATTATTTATTGTCGTATACCGTAGTAAATCTTCCCATTGCAAGGTCCGTTTCCTCTTCAAGGAAATAGCCCTGGGAATATCATTTGAAGTTTTTATTGCATATGTCTTCATGGCGGGAAAGGCCTCAAATATCCAAATCTACAAACAATATAATAACAAACATTAGTAATTGTTAAATAATTACTTATAATTTTGGAAACATCATATAAAAATTCTTACCTTAAAGGATAAATAAAGCCTGTCAAAGTGTATTTGGAACCATCGCCATGCAAACTTTTTCGATCATCCAACGCAGACGATAACTTATTCCATGTAGCTTTCCATAAATACGTGCCCCACGGAAACATGTTCCACGCATTTAGGTCTTCTACCAATTTGATTAGATCATTTGGAATAGGTTGTCTGGCCTCTCTGCCTAAAAAGCCGGCATGCAAAAGAATTAGAATGCATACTCGGACAACGTCGACGTCATCCATCCGAGTAAAACCGTCTTTATTATTCAACAATCTTTTCAGGTCTTCTACGTGTAGACTCGACCTCTCCAGCTCAGGAAAAACCCGGGATAGCCATGATGGGCGGGTAATATGTCTAGTGTACCGACCTACATCATCGTGTCCGAAGCGTAGACCGGTGATTAAGCAAAACTCCTCCCGCCCAAAACACGTATACGCCGGTGGAAAATCAAACCATATATCTTCATCACGACATTGTATAGTCTCTGGTAGATCGCTAGTCATGGTTTGAAGAAACAGGTGTGTCAACATCGCATCTCCACCGGGATGTTGTACTTTCAGCCATGGCCCGAAGCATGTATCCTCAAACATTTTTCTTTGTGCAGGTGAAAGCTTCGACGCAATTGTTTTGGCCAGGCTGACTTTATTTCTCAAGGTCAATTGAGCCGAATAAAAGTTCTACAAAAACAATAAACATACTAAATTAGATATACCAAAAACTACACTGTGAAGATATACCAAAAACAATAATAAACATAAAGAGTAGTAGTTTATTCTTCAAACTTAAATTTGCAACACTGTGAATTTCGTATTTGTCTTTGTTTTTTGGTTGAAGTAATGCAATTCATTCAAGTTTCAATTTGCAGAAGAAGAATAGTTTCTGAAAATGAAAATCGCAACACGAAAATGACTATCGCAACGCGAATTTGACTATCGCAACGAGAGAATCGCAACGCGAAACTAAAATCGCGTTGCGATTTGCATTTCGCGTTGTGATTCTCGGTTGATTTAATAAGCAATCAAAGTGAAATGGTTAATCTATTATTGAAATTACCAGTAAACTTATCATCAATTTCAATATGAAAAACCTGATAATAATGCAAAAATTTCAAAAAGAAAATAATTAAAAAAACTAACCCTCGTTGGTTGATTTGTTGATTTTCCATTTCTAATTGTGAGGGTGGCTCTGAGAGATGGAGATAGACGGATTTCGTCGGAGATGGGGACGGATTTCGTCGGAGATGGGTGAGAGAGTGAGAGATGGAGATGGGACTGAGTTGTGATTTTAGGTTTTAGGTTATGAGTTGCGATTACGGGATATACTGTGGACGGTTCAGTGTTCCAATATATTAATATTCGTGTTTGGAATTTAAAAATAAAATACTTGGCCATGATACTAATGGCGCTTTGAAAATCGCATTGCGATTATGTATTATCGCGTTGCGAAAGTCAGAATCGCATTGCGAAAGTCAGTATCGCGTTGCGAAAGTAAGTATCTCGTTGCGATTTTGTATTATCGCATTGCGATAGTCAGTATCGCATTGCGATTTTCCCAATTCGCGTTGCGATTTACTTATTCGCATTGCGATTTTCCCAATTCGCGTTGCGATTTACTTATTCGCATTGCGAATTGGGAAAATCGCAACGACACTGTGACCATCGCAACGCGATTTTCAACTATCGCATTGCGAAAATGCAACGCGAATTTGCGATAATGGAGATCGCGTTGCGAATTAGCGATCGCATTGCGATTTTGTTGGTCATTTTGGCAAATCCGGAAAAAGTTGGTTAAAATCATATATTATATGGGATTTTTGGTCACTGAGGTTATTTTCTCTTTTTAAAATTATAAAATTGGTGTAACACCCTAATTTAAATCTAATTAAAAATTCTAACATTTGATAATTTTTTTCTAAATCACTAAATTAAATTTTTGGTCAATTTGAAAATAATGAAAAAAAATTGTTTCCATATTCGAAAGACCTAAAAAGATCAGGGATCAACTGACAATTAGACCAAAAATTATTTAAATACTATTCTCACTCTTCTTCCCCCAACCCATGCTTCCTTTTCTTTCTTTCTTTCTTTGTTTTCACAAAACCGCCCTCGCTCATTCATTTCTCATTGCCCTGCCGCCGTTCGCAGCCTGTTGTAGTCAAAATTACCCCTGGGAACATCACCGAAATATCCCCAAAGAAGCTCTGATCGTCCCCAAATTCGATCAGTTGTACCTTGCCACCATGGCACGTCTCTGATACGTACCCCAACAGTCCCCGTACTATCCCCATACCAAAAACGTATCGGATACTTAAAATGGAGATCCTTTGCCGTCCCTGTACTTCATAGGTACTAACATCCATAATCAACTTATGGCGAAGTGAAGTCAAAGACGAGTATTTAGTGAAGTTTACTTTTGACAGTTGAGAGGTTTTCCCGACGGAGATAACAATGAAAACAAGGGGTACACGTTTATTATTACTAAATTCTCGAATAAGTGTCTAAACTATTTTTTGACTCATCTAGGTTCCTAACATTACAAACGTTACTAATTTAAGTGTCTCGACCGTCAATGATGTTAATTTCCCATTTAAGTGACACATGTCACAATCCAGTGATTTTAAAAAAATTATTTAAAATAAAAAATAAAATTATACATATTTTTAAGAAAAATATAAACATTTTGAAATAACCCAAAAACTTTGAAAACCTTCATTTCAACTCCTAAACCTACGTTGGCCATCACCCTTTGCCTTCGACGAAGCCCCACCCGACCTCATCTTCCCATGGCGATCAAAACCCCCATGAAATCATGATCGATCGACATTGAATCGACGTTTTATACCCCGCAAACCCTAGGATGAAAACCGTGATCCCACACGATCTTGATGGCCAATCGATGGTAACTACAATGACTTGTGACTAGGAAGATGGCAAGGACTACGTTGGTCGCGGCCGGAAATGGAGACGGCGAGTTAAGGATATGATTTGGGGATTTGAAGTATTTTGAGTTTTTTTTATAATTTAAGAGAAATTATATTTTTTATAAATATAGTAATATTTTTATAAAATTTTAAAATATTGAATTGTGACACGTCACTTAACGGAGAAATTAGCGTCGTTGATAGTTCGAGCACCTAAATGGGTAACTTTTGTAACATTAAGCACCTGGATGGGTCAAAAAATAGTTTAGGCATTTATTCAAGAATTTATGTATAATTTGGGCGCTTATTTTGGTATCAAGCCTTATTTTATTATATAATTTATCAAATTTCGGTTAATTTTAGTTTTTATTTTTTTCCATAATAACTTTAGATTGTAAGATTTTTATTTATTTTAATAAAATAGTTTTATTTTATGATTTTTAAATATTAGTTAATAAAAAATTTGTGTTCGGAGAACTTATTTTTCATTTTCTGAATAATGTTATGTAACTTATTTTTCATACACTCTTGACAAAAAATTAACTCTGTTAATCATATTATAAAATTATAAAACATGAAGTTTGACGAGCAGATACATTCATGAAATCTCTGAAGGTTGATGTTTCTTTACGGACACCAATTTTTTACACAAAGCGGCCAAAACTGAGCTCAATTTTGGCATCCCGCAATTGCAACACTCGAAAAAAAAATGCTGAGACAAGCATAATCACTTTCCCACAAACTCTTACCCTGACTGGCTTAAATGTTGTTGGAGCTGAAAACACAGCTTTGACATTTGAGAGAGCAATTTGCATTGTTGTTCTCGTGATGTTAGTGATTCGGATGTCACCTGTGACATTGGGTCTCGAAGCAGCCGAGTGAGCTGAGAGCACAACATCGTAGCACCTTGATTGTTTGAACATGAATTGGCTATAAGTTCAATCAGTTGAAAGCTTTGGTCTTGAGCCAAAGATGGTAGGGGAAGGAAAGAGGGAACAAGAAAAGGGTGTTGAAGTAGCTCAGGGATCCGCCACCTCTTGTTTCGGTCCCATGCAAGACATTTCTTCATGATGTCAAGAAGCCATGGGTTAGAAACTGGTTCATATATGATTGTGTGGTTCGGGTCGGTTATAACTTTGAACTTGGACCAGAAAGTCTTGTAATCTGCAAAAGGCGTCCTCCCATAAACCATTTGATAAAGTATGCACCCAAGGGACCATATATCAGAAGGTCGGCCACATTTTATTGTATTTCCATTTGCATCACTCTCATTGCACATGAATGCCTCGGGCGACATATAACTCAGAGTTCCAACCTGCATTCGTAGTTTTACAAAAAGGTTTAGATGTAAGTACTTTCTTTGGTCAAATGATCAACCACTTGAGATAAATTGAGAAATTGATGCTCCAGATCATATATGAATACCAGTACCAAAGTAACTACCATTGTCTTGCATGTAATAATCGATTAAATGCTTGTCTGGCCCATGTATCATATATAACTTTCATTTTTAGTGAAATACTCGGTCTTTTTAAAATCAAAGTCAATGCAGAATAGTAAATATGAAAAACAAATGCAAAATAAAATGCTGATTGATAAAAGTGATAGTAAGTTAAATCTAAACTTGAAGGGAAACAATTAAGGAATACCTGTGAATCCCTTTGGATGTTGGTTGTATCGCTCATTATGGCTTTGGCAATACCAAAATCAATAAGTTTTAGAGAGCCTTTTACAAGAAGAAAATTAGCAGGCTTTAAGTCGGAGTGCACGATACGTTCCTCATGTATAGTGTTGACAGCTTGAAGTATTTGCTGCAAATTGCTCACCAAACTAAAGTGAATAGCTTTTTTACATAAAATTAATTGTATAAGATGAAGCCAAGACTCATGAATGGTACACAATTTCAAATTAGCTAAAATGCTTTTAGAATTACTGCATATAATTAGAAAAGGTTATCAATATCATTAGCAAAGACCAACACAGATTCAAAGAAAGGGATAGCTTTAAAACCTGCCAGTAAAATCGAAGCCAGTTCTCATCTATATTCTGATTACAGCTATCCATTTCCTTCCATTTCTGGGATAACATGTGAGCCAAATCAATTTCTCCATATTCGAGTACCATGTATACATAGCTATCATCCTTGACTCTGCCATCTTTATTTGACATGCTGCCATTCATCATTTCTCGGAGCATATTCTTATCTGTCACCTAATATCAAGAAAGATTACCATCAACAAGAAAGCTGACAAAATATAACATCAAAGTTCAGGTCATTTATCATTAAAGAAAAAAAAGGAATCATTCCTGCCAAACAAGATCTACTTTTACTTGCAAGGGTGCTAAAGAAATTTTTACTAGGGTCACTATGGAACACTTGACCCTATGAGCTATAAAACTTAAAACTTATCTCAGTGGTGACACCATTCTGAGAAGATAATAAGCAAACAACTTCAATGACCATAAAACTTTTCAAATACTTATAACTCTAGAAAACAAGACAGATGGGTTCCATAACATATGAGATTAGTCTGCAAAATCAACCACTCATTTTTTCCCACAATATCTCTAGCCACTACATAGAGTAAAGAGATAAAGCCCCTTACAGTTACAGGAACATTTTAGTTTAGCATGAAACATTGACCAGCGTGATTGTTTAACAGTTTGTGCTGTTGGTGCATAAGTTGGAACGCTAAAAGGAACAAGATTTAGTATATCAAAATTTAACGCTACTACGGGTGGAAGGACTTACCTCATAGTCTATTAAGTTGATAATGTTGTTCTTTCCCTTCAACCTGTTTAAATATTCGATTTCCTGACAAAACCCATATGCACTAGCATAGTCACGACCTTTGAGCTTGATTTTCTTGAGTGCATATATTGTACAATCTGATGAAATGACTTTATGGACCTCACTGCTTCCTCCGCTGCCTATCTTTCCAAGCCTTTGATACAGCTTTCCATTAACTTTGAAAAACAAGTCAGGATCATAATTCCGTTTACGAGGTGCTGATGTTCCTTTACTACTTGTCACCTTCCCTTGCTTCTCTGCTTTAGAAGGTTCTACCTTTACATCTGAATTCAAGTCTTTCGACGATGGAGACTGAGATCGTATATTAGTGACACCATCTATAGATTCTTGCCCTTTGATTGACTTATCATTCAGAGGACAAGAATCTTTTGGAAGTTCATTTTGGGTCACCAAGCTTCCTTCTTGCCTTTTGGACAAGTCAAGTTCATTGACCTCCAGTTGGGAATTATTACCAGAAGTAGAAGCCTGAGCTGCTTGATCAGCTAGCATTCTGCTTATTTCCTTCCCTGAAGGAAATTCTTGCTGCAACACATTCCCTTGATTTAGATTTTGATGATTCACGTCAAAATCTCCCATGGCTTCTTTTGAGATATGAGAAACTCCTTCATGGGAACGAGAGCAATAAGTTGTCAGGTTAAGCATTGGAGCTGAACTAGAATAGATAGATGTTGTGGTAGCACATGATGACCCCACAACTGAAGATTGCATGACGGGTTGCCCTAAAAAGTTTCCTAAATGATGTATCTGATCTTGTACAATAGTAGTTCTCTTTGCCAAAGAAGAGATCCCAACATCAGACTTCAAACTGATTTCAGATTCTGGGTTTTGGAAGGGTTGGTGCTTTGAATTGTTATTGACAACTGTTGACGACTCTACTTGATTGACTGCATTCCACTCCATTTCTGTCAAGGAAAGAGAATCCATATGAGATGATAAATTTTCCAGTCCAGTGGCCATTCCATCATCGGCCCCTGCAGATTTAAAAGGAAGAGAAATGCATCGTAGGGCATAGTGACAAATTCATGAGCTACCGATAATCAGCTAGAATTCAACCATTTCCGTCACAATGACACATTGTATGGCAGCAAAGAAAATCCCACAAAACCCTAAATTAGCAATTTAAAGAGCATTTTAAAACATATTACCCTGGGAAACTGCATTGTGTTCGGTTAAAAACTGAACCTTTTTCTGAACATCGACATTTAGAGACTGTACATCCTGCAAAGGGATCAAATTATTCTCCTTCTTAGCATCAACCACCTTGTGCTGATCTCGATCCACATCAAATGGGTTGAAATTTTCATCAAAGGTTTTGGTAGTAGTTCCCGTGATGGAAGGTGCAGTAATAAATGCATCTTCTTGAGACTCCCCGGCATTAATTTTCTCCTTGACCAACTGACCATTACTCAACGAAACACAATCCTTAGACTTGTTAGTATCACAATTGACATCCATATTTCTAGAAGCGGCACGCTGGGGAACCACCATTCGTCTTGGCATTATACCATTCGTCTGTATTGTACCTGGAAACTCCTCAGAAAACTCAACATAAACTTAAATCTAAACCAATCGCATAATAGTCTCGTTAGTTAACAAAATTTATCCAATAAATCATGACAGTCTTAATTGACATCAACTGCAAAATCAATATGAGTAGGAACCTAAATTTCTACTTCACTTAACTGAATTAAAATAGCTTTTAATAAAGGAAATTAACAGATACTAAATTGTAAATATTAACTAAGCAAAACAATAGGGATCTGGTGTAGAAGAACACTAAATATGAGAGGTGTACCGAGAGATCGATGGCGCTTGAAGGCGGCTTGAACATCACGGATGAATCCAGGAGGGGACGAAGAGGATGAGGTGGAAGATGACGTCTCCTGATTGGGGATCGAGCGCACCAGATTGGCAGATGGTGGGAGCGGAAGCTTAGCCTCCCTTTCCATGGGCGGATCTCAGCGGCATTTCCGGTCTATGGAGGGGAAGTTCCGGTAGAAAGAAGGAAGAGATATGTAAAAGCTGAGAAATGGAGGGGAAAAACTCAGGTTAGGATTATGGTAGTATCTTCGTCTTCCATGAGAAATGGAAAGAGTGAAAATTTTGTAAGTTTGAAAGCCTATTTGCCGCTCTCATTTTTTTTATTGATTAACTAAATTAAATATTTCATTTGATGGGCCATTTGCTTTCTTCAGGTTCTAGGACGCTTCTGTGTTTATTCCCTGAGAAACAGCCCAATTACTCTTTTAAACTAAGGCATAAAACATAGGCAAAATTGGCCCATAAATCAAGCGGGTAAAAGAATTAGCCCATTAGGTCAACCTGAATTTTAATTTGAGATTTACGATAAATGATACAGTGTAGGACAAACTCGTCACACTCACATGATGAATTTTTTCAATTAATATTTTTTATTCAAACTTGTCATGCCCACGTGACGAGTTTCAAGTCATTGTAGTAAATGTCGTAGATCCCAAATTAATTTTAAAGATAATCTAATAGGTCAATTTTTTTTACTTGCCCGATCTATTGGGCCAATTTTTCCTAAAACATAGGCCACAACCAACTCGCTCGCATGGGCTTCAGGTTCACAAAGTGGCTTTTTGGCCCAATATCCCAAACGGATAAATTATTTAAGGTATTGGGCCTACCCAAACTTTATTTTGGAGAATACAACAATTTCTACAGTGCACCCGGAACTCGTCACCTTTGGATATTATTTTTAAATGGTCCTCGATTAGTAGGCCCCACGTGGGTCATTATTTTATTGTAAAATGACTCGTCACTTCGAGGCGACGAGTCTATTAAAAATTATTTTTTAAAAATTAAAAATAAAAATAAAATTTATAAATTAAAAAATTAAGTGAAACTCGTCATATTAAAGGTGACGAGTTCCTTCAAATTCGAAAATACTAACTGTTTTTTAGCCGTTAGTCAACGGTCAATAATGGTCACTTGGAACTCGTCACCTCGGCCATATAAAATTTAAAAAAATAAATTAAAAGAAAAATAATTTTATTAATATTTTAAAAATAAAAAGTAAATAAATAATTGCAAAAATTAAATTATTTACAGAAAAAATTACAAAAGAAAATTTATCTATATTTCCTAAGTTCTTGACGATGCTGAGGAGTTGTCGAATGATAATGGCGGCGGGCTCGTCGAGTACGTCGGGTCATAAGCCTTGATCGTCGTCGTCGCCGCCCTCGTCATCGTCTTGCCGATGAGGTGTACTCAACATACTCTGTGATCCACCTTCAAAATACAATGATGGATTTATGACATTTGATGCTATCATTGCCATAACTGTTTCGACTTGGCTACTACTTTGTTGATCATATAGGATATGGTCCCACTCACCCGCAACCACATGTTCCGTCGAAGATGCTTGAGTGCATTGCGGTGCATCCCATGAAACTCCAAACCAATTCAGTCGAGTCTCGACTGTTGTATGAAATAGAGGATAGAAATTGAAACTAGCTTGAGATGCACAATAGTACTCTTTAGTTGCAGATGCTGAAGCGAAAGAAGATGACGATGTTGTTTTATTCTTGGACTTGGCGCGCGTGGCCTGATGATGTCGCAATTCTCCCATCTCTTCTGGTGTCGTGAGATATGGTTTCCTATTTGCTTCATAAGTTTGGAGATAGGGAGAATGGTCGAAATCTAGGTCCAACGGTCTAATGTCGCCACGTGGGGGGAGCTATAGTTCACGTTGATTCCATAGGTCAATGTAGTAAGCGTGCCTCACAGGCCAATTTTTGTTATGTATCCCACGCATATCAATTGCTTGAAACACATTCATATAAACGATTTGCGTAGGAATCGACTGGTGCGACGTAAATTGTCACATCAGTCTATCAGCGGTGTGCCACTTAACAATGGCTTGGTGCAATAACGGCGTCACGACACACCATAAGTGAGACCCCTCAAAAAATCGCGATGGCAATAACTGATTGATCTCGTCGTCAACATACGAAAGCCATGATAATTGTAAATATTAAACACAAAGTTATTATATATAAAGTTAAAAAGATTAAAAAAAATTGTATGTCATACTGCATATCAACTAGCAATGTCAATTCTCATCCGTATATCTTGTGCAGTGGCACTCGCCAACTTTGTCTCTGATATTTTATGACGACATCTAAAATATTTTAAAATGAAAAAATATTATAAACAAATAAAAAGTAAATAAATTTATAAAAGGTTAAATAAATTAAGTTAAACAATTACCTTGCAGCCAACGGAAATCGATTGGGGCTAGTGTAATTGACGAAAAAAATGGGAAGAGATACCACCAAGCCCAGGACTGTAGCAGTATCAGACAACCTACTACATTGGCTTTTCGACCCGGTTGGACAAGTTCATCCTCGTAAAGCTCCCGGTACAGAAATACTAGAATCACCGAGCCCCAACTGGTATTACGACACACAACGAAGTCTTCCAAATATTACAGATATTGAGTGTGCGCCAAATTACCGGATTTATCTGGTAATAATATCCCTCCGGTCACTTGGAGAAGAAATGCTCGGGACGCGCAAACAATCTCTATCTCGGTAGACTTGGTAGTCACTTGGAATTCGGACTCCTACCACATTATCATTACCCGATAGCCCTTGATGACGTCGGATGGTGGCCATTTTCCCAAAACATGGTAGGCCAACATCATGGGGTCGTAAATGTTTTGCCTCACCATGGGGCTTCATTCATAGGAACACCGAGTTGCTAACCAACGTCTTCCAAAGTAATCGTCGCTTTACCTCTTGGGAAATGGAACGCGTGCGTCTCAGGCCGCCAACATTCGATCAGAGCCTCAATCAATGTTGGGTACAGCTTGAAGCCACATAAAGATATGGCCGAAAATAGACCAAATTGATGCAAATATATATATGACATCATCCGCTGATGCGGCTATCTAGTTGTCATCCACTGCTTACGAATATTCCATTCATCGTAGTCCGACTGGCGTTGAATCGACGAAACATAGGCATCCAGACGCAACATATATTCTCGAGTTGTCATTTTTTGGGATTTTCTCACAACGTACGATTTTGTTTTATTTTTTTGGATTCAGGGTTTAGTGAAAACCAAAACCCAATACACATGTTTATAGCCTTAACCTCAATGGCTATAAACGACTAGAAATTTCAAATTTTCGATCGAACCCCATCTTTTCGTTAACCAACAGCTAGTATTTTTGATTTTGAAGGAACTCGTCACCTCGACGTGATGAGTTCCACCTATTTTTTAAAAAGTTTAAAAAATATTTAAAAAAATATTTTTAATAGATTCGTCAGCAAAACGTGACAAGTCATTTTAATGATAATAAAATAATGTCTTACATGGGGTCTGTTACTTGGGGACCATTTAAAAATAATATTCAATATAATTCGTCAGCTCAAGGTGACGAGTTCGAGGTGCAATGTAAAAAATTACCGTAAACTCCAAAATATAGTTTGGTAGGCCCTATACTCTAAATAATTGACCCGCTTAGAGTATTGGGCCAAAAAAAACCTCACAAGGCTAGTAATACTGAGGAGTAATATGGAAGAGCCACTCTCTTTAGAAAGTAACAAATTAGCAATCAATAGTTCCAATTTGCTCTGGATTCTAATAAAAATAGGATAAATTATATATGTGATTAATTAATTATGAATAATTTATATTTTAATTATTTATTTTTAATTTGTTAATTGGATTATTTAAATAATATCAATCAAATTATTTTTCGTTAATATTTGATGGAAGAATATGCATAATAATTAATAAAATTAATATAATTATATATTTATTTGCACATGTGACTAGTGACCTAAGTCGCCATTTGATTGGTGTGACTTTACCATTGGACTAACTCTCGAATTTTGGTATATTGATTACAATATATTCTATATATTTCATATTATAATTGGCGTTCAAAAATAAAAAGGAAATTTACTAAAAGAAGACTCAAATCAAAGTCAATTTAGAAACATGAGAGTAAAATTTAGTGAGTAAATTAAAAAGATATAGAGTATACTGAGTGAAACATAAGATAGAGTAAAGTTAGGTAGGTAAACTTGTAATTTATCCTTCCATTTATCATTCACTTGAGGAATTAAATTGTTGGGACCCGCTCTTGTTCGTTTCTTGTTCTGATGATCCAAGTATCTACAATGAAATTCAACGGCCATTATTTGGAATGAGAACTCTGTGACCATTGATTTATGAATCCAATTTTCAAAATAACTCCAAAACTTCCAAGCCTTAGCTAAAGTCACTATTCAGTAGCCGGAAGGTGCCTATGATATAAGAAGCATGTCTGCAATGTCTTTAATGGCAGTCATTCCAAGATTCTGATACCTTGAAGAAAAAGAAAAAGAGCCTATAAATTAGTATTAAACCTCCTTAGAAATACCTGGATCAACTCACCAAATAAAGCCTACCATGGAAGCTTACCAAAACCAAAACAAGTGGCGTCACAAGATCGACAAACCACCCTCTTGGGCGGTTCTCAAAAGGCTCTTCTTTGGTAAACAGCGACGACGAAAACAACAAGAGCAAGTAGAGCAAGAGCCACTACAGCAGAAGAAGAAGATGATGAAGAAGCAAAAGCAACAACTGGAGCAAGAAACGGGCAAGAAATGCAAGAAGATGAGGTGTTCAGGTTCCATATGTAGCAACACAAAGGTCATTCAGAGGCCTGAAGTAGCTTCCCCTGAAGTTCACAAGAAAAGGGCATCATTCGCCACAACCGATGATGCTTCTACCAGATCCATGAAAGCTCCTCTGCGTGAACTCAATGGACTGCCCGTTTCTTCCTCTAATTCTTCACTGCTTTCTGTATCCTCAACCGCACCAGCCTCCTCAGTCGGCGGTTCTTTTGGAGGAATGCCGTTTGGGAGATTCTCCGGCTGTTATGAGTGCAAAATGGTTGTTGATCCCCTCCTCGGAATATCCAAAGACCCCTCCTTTAGGGGCGCCATTTGTTCCTGCCCTGATTGTGGTGAGATTTTCATGAAAGCTGAAAACTTGGAGCTTCATCAAGCTGTTAGGCATGCAGGTAAAACCCACTCCCCTGAAAACCCTGATTTAGCACTAGAAAAACACTTAAAGCTCATCTTTTTGTGTATGATCAAACAGTATCTGAACTGGGTCATGAGGATACAAGCAAGAACATAGTGGAAATCATATTCCAGTCAAGCTGGTTGAAGAAACAAACACCCATCTGCCAAATCGATCGCGTCCTTAAAGTCCATAACACCCCCAAAACAATCTCCAGATTCGAAGAATACCGTGACTCCATCAAATCCAAAGCCACCAAGCTCCCCAAGAAGCTCCCACGTTGCATAGCCGACGGTAACGAGCTCCTAAGGTTTCACTGCACCACTTTTGCTTGTTCACTCGGTGACAGCGGTTCCACCAACTTGTGCAACGCGATTCCAAAGTGCAATGTCTGTAGCATTATAAAGAATGGGTTCAAGGTGGCTCAAGAAACCGATGGAAAAGGAATCTTAACAACAGCAACCAGTGGCAAAGCTCATGATAAGGCAATTGGGGTTGAAGATGAGGGTTGTGAGAAGAGGGCAATGCTCGTTTGTAGAGTGATCGCTGGGAAAGTGAAGAAGAACATGGACGGTAACATCGAGGATTACGACTCCGTTGCCGGTGATGTTGGGGTCTACTCCGATCTGGATGAACTGTTTGTGTTTAATCCTAGGGCTATTTTGCCTTGTTTTGTTGTTATCTATGGAGGGTTTTAGAATTAGCACGTTTAAATGTAATGTTTGATACTAACAAGTGTAGTTTTTTTTTATTTGCATAAAACGCATTGGATGAATTAATGCTGACTGACCTTGAAATTGTTTGAAATATCTGATTTTGAATCCAAATGAAAAAAAATTGTAATCAGATAGTTTTTTCCGATAATCGAAGAAGCTAAAAGAATTTTTAGCGAATAAAGAATTATGTCAGCAACTGGCATTGTCTTTGTTACATCAATGTCCGGATTCCCATTCCATTTGCCAACGCCAAACGAAGTACATTTGGAATTTGGAATAGAACTCCATGGATATGGAACACTGGACAGAGCCTGACATGTCTGGTCTCTTGATCAGGTTGTTCAAACTAGTGTGAATATTACAAAACATAAAATAAAAACCCTGACAAATTTTGGGTTTTTATTGCTGCATATAATAAGACATTACTGAAGATGCATCTGATTTGCAGTTTGTCTCGACAACTTTTGTTAAAACCCTTGATTCAAGATCACCCTGAGTGCAGAAAACAACCCTATTTCCCATCTGACCCTTCCGTACAGCGTGCTACTTTTTGTGTTAGATCTAGATATTAGAAATGACACAGTGCAAAACAAAAATAATTAAAATAAAATTTTAATTATATTTTTTTATCTCCAAAAAATTAACTCGAAATTTTAATTAAAATATTTTGTGTTTGTTATAACTCTCAAGAAACATATTATTGCATGCATGAATAGTCAAAATTTACTACGGATTTGGCGCCAAAGAAAGAGGCATAAAAAATGGCTCTCATGGCATATATGCATGCTTTGTGTAGCTTTTGTTCAGACATTGAGAGCTTTTCATTAGTTCTACAGTGAAGGAGAAGAGTAAAATGGAAACAAAACCACGTCACGGATGCTTGAAGCTCAAGCCCTATTTCATCATGCACTCCACATATGAGGATTCGTGTATTTATATGCCATGTTCATGTTATATAATCATCATATATAGCTTGTTTCATATTACTACATTTTACATGAGAAAAAAAAAATGAAAAACGATTGAGAAGAAAAGAAGGCAACGTGACATGAGAGGAAAAGGAAAGAAGGGCAGTGAAGGCAGCAAGCAACAAGGCAAAACAAAGAGAATGGAGAGCTTTGGCAACGGGTTAATTATTAGACGGTGGGATTTGGAAGGGAAGGTGGGGCTCTTGGCCTGACACCGACAATTCGTGGAACCCAGCCACATGTTCGGCTTGTGTCTGTTGGGTCAGGGTCAATGGTTGGATCAGCGTTTTACCTACTGGGATGGGATGGGACCATCTAATCCTTTTTCCAGCATTCAATTTATTACTAAAACGGAACTGTACTGGTTTTCACTTTTAGGGATGGATTTTTTTAGACTACATTGATTATAACAGATAATTGGATGACTAACAGTGTAATTTACCCAATTCATGTTTTGATATTTTATCATCTAAACTAAAATCAGTTCACATTATGATAAAAAGAAACGAGAAAGCTGTCCTGCTCCTTCTATAAGTCAACCCGCTACCTCATATGATCAGTGTGTGCAAATCCACGCACCACTTACATCATCACTGGAAGCGAAAGCAAAATCTGTATGTTTAGGCAAATCCGAAAGTTGGACTATGAACTCAAGGTCGGTGAACCAGAACCCTATCTGGCTATCTTCCTTGGTGGATCAAGTTTTGCAGGAACCGTAGACTTCCATGTATATATAAGACTGATGATTGCACTGTAATGGGCGCCATTGACGCATGAACTTTGCTTGTCATCTTGTACACTCATGGTGGGAATCAAGTAGATTTGCACTATCAGTTAGTCTGATCGTTGAATTATTTGAGCTCTGGAGGCATGCACATTCCGGCAAAGGGCATTTGTATATGGGAGTTTTTCTGTTAAACTTTTTAACTCTGGGGAATGGGGACCATCATTGCATTCATTTCCTCCTTGAAAGCTTTCCAACAGCAAACTGAGAACAGATATGTTTCATACGCATCTTCAAACGATAAAATATCAAATATAAGTCCAACAATTTTACTGAGATCGGTATCTCGGAGGTCATTGAACTGCCTTGTTTGTTTGCACAGTCAATTAGCCGGGGAGTGACCCCACAAATAGATAACAATTTCATACTATTGCTTTTCAAAAGTGCAATTCAAATTATAATAAATGAGATTGTTGTTAAAAAATGATGTTGAAAAAATATTAATTATAGATATAATTATAGATATAATTGTAAATTAAAAATATAGCATTTAAATTATATTTATACTAATCAATACTATTATACATAAAATATATCAAATTAAAATAAAACAAAAATATAAAAAATATTTGAAGATAACTCATTAATAATATTTTTATGTATAAAATATTTTAATAAGAAAAAATATATTATCAATACTTTTTAACATGTGGACTTAAAATTATTACGAAACAATAATTATTTCGATTTAATCACAGTCACTCATTAACATTTGAATTTTAAAAATATTTTAATTATTCGATTTAATCACAATCACTCATTTAAAATTTAAAATAAAATAATTTAAATGATATATTTATCATTTTAAACATTAAAAAAAGACATATCATAAATAAATTCAAAAGAAATCATTATATATAATAAAAGAATAAAAATACAAAAAAGTATAGTTATAATAAAAATATATTTTATAATAACTCAGTATTAATATTTTAATATATAAATCATAAATTTTATTTATTTTTAAGTAATTATTAAACAATAAATTATTTTCTTAAAGTTGTTAATATTAAATTATTGAAATGAAATGTAAATACATAATTAATGAAGGAAATTGAATTTCAAATTTCTTTTCATGGGCAAATGAGTTGAATCCATGTATTAGTAAGAATAAAAATATAAATTTACGTCTCCACGTAAAGTTGGAAATGAAAATTTTATAAATCTCAGTTTTTGCGGTCGGTTTGAAACCATAATTTTTTCTGTATTTTTTATTTCAATTTTTAATCGCTTGGCATTGATTTTGCAGTTAAAACAACTTTTTTTTTTTAACTAAAAGTGCTTTAGACCTCGTTGCAAAACGCACACCAAGTAGATTCAAAGTAGGCCATTGATAGAATAGAACACTTTGCTCAATTTGGTTAAAGCATTCACTCGCATGCATGAGAACAAGCCCATACGAACATGCAGCTAGATATTCCAGTTTCAAAAGAAGAAAGTTCATTACACTTAAGTTCTCCAAATTGATTAGATCCCTGGAAATTAATTAGGCTCCCTTCCCAAGCCTTCGAGGACCTAGAAGTATAGTACTACTAATAATTCCATTGTAGTAAAACTTTTGTATACTAAAGGCTTGATACAGGTCATATACATAAGTAACATGATGCTAATAGTAGCTGCTATAGCAATGGGTGAGAGTTCAACTTGATTTATCCATCTAATACTCGATGGACTAATAAGAGCAAATCCATTTAAGGATAATATCGAGAGAGAGAAGGTTGAGACGTGTTGAACTGGAACCACTATATTTATTGTTTCGAACGAGTAAACAAAATCTACAAGACAGTAATTCTTAGAGAAACACGAAAGAGGAGGCGAAATATGAATAAGCATTCATATTGCCTAAGCCTAATTGAACTGTTATGGAGGATTCATTCTATTGGCAAATGGTGCAATGCGGATAACATAACCCTACAGTCAAACAATTCTGACTAAATATCAATTCTTAAAGTTGTTTAATAGATAGATAAAGAAGTTTGTTTTCTATTAAACAATCTGCCCACTTCAGTTCGCACCTTGCTAACGCAATTAACATTTCATTGTAAAAAAAAAGGCTTAATACCAAAATAAGTGCCCAAACTATATTGTTTTTTCCAAATAGGTGCCTAAACTATTTTTTGACTCATCCAAATGCCGAACGTTACAAACGTTACGCATTTAGGTGTTTGGGCCATTAACGGCGTTAATTTTCACCGTTAAGTGATACGTGTCATAACTGGTGATTTTGAAATTTATTTTTATAAAAAATTAAAAAATATTATATTTAAAAAACCCTAGGTTAAAAATCGATATCTCATTAGGCACCTAGATGAGTCAAAAAATAGTTTAGACACTTATTTAGAAAAAATGGTATAGTTTGAACACTTATTTTGGTATTAAACAAAAAAAAAAAGTAGGAATACAAAGATTATTATCTCCCTAACCAAACGTTATATTTTAACTTTTCTTTATCATTCATATACAAGATGAGAAAGGGGAAAAAGCTAATCCATATCCATTCATATTTAAGCGAAGCCAGTCAAACACCCCAAACGGATAAACTACCAAAACATTCAAACCGTCAGATCTAATCCAACCCATCTTCTCTACCCTCCGATCATTATCCAACAATACATATAAAAAAAGCCCGCCCCTCAATATTATTGGCGCACTCCAACAAAATAAACGAGAGAGAAGCCCCCCGGAGGAGAAACTTCTTTACTTTAGCCATTTTCTAGAATCTTCTCGAAGGCGATGGCTGAGACGACCACCACCGAGAGATCCACTGGCATAGTCAAATGGTTCAGTGCCCAGAAGTGTTTCGGTTTCATTGCTCCTGACGGCGGAGGCGACGACCTTTTCGTCCACCAAACCTCTATCCTTTCCGAAGGCTTCCGTACACTCTCTGATAATCAACCCGTTGAGTTCTCCGTTGATATCGGCGAAGATGGCCGAGCAAAGGCAGTTGATGTAACACCTCAGGCCCGATCTCGCCGCCCTCCCCGTGGTGGTCGTGGCGGTGGAAGAGGAGAACATTTTGGCGGAAGGGGTAGGGGTGCTGGTGGAGGTTACAGGAGAGGAGGTTATGGTGGCGGCGGAGGTAGTGGCGCGTGTTATAATTGTGGGAGGACAGGGCATTTAGCTAGGGATTGTTATGAAGGTGGTGGAAGATCGAGATACAGCGGTGGCCGTGGAGACGATGGTGGAAGTAGAGGATACGGCAGAGGCAATGGTGATGGCCGAGGAGGAGC